GGGGGGGCCCCCCCCCCCCCTGCTGCTGCTGCTGCTGCTGCTGCTGCTGCCACAAAGCCCCCACGGACTCCGCAAAAGACAGCCGCGGGTCTTCGCAAATGAGACGCAAATGACTCAAATGAAAACTCTCAAACATTTTGGAAGCAATTGAGATTTTAACTCGGAGATTAACGAGCCGCTGGTCAGTGTTGAGCTGCTCCTGGAAGGCCTGCAGCAGCTGCAGCAGCTCGGGGTCGCGCGGCTGCTGCTGCTGCTGCTGCTGCAGCAGCTGCTCCACCTGCTGCTCCAGCTGCAGCAAGTACTGCTGCGCCTTGAACAGCAACTCCTCTTCAACATAAAAGATTAACTGCCGCCACTTCTTCACCAAGATTTGTTCCAAAGCAGCTTTGGGGCTGAGGCCTTTGCCTGAGCGGCTTCTGCTGCTGCTGCTGCTCAGCGGCGCAGCGCCCTCTGCTGCTGCTGCTGCTGCTGCTGCTGCTGCAGCGGGGCCGGCCCCGCCCCGGCTGCCCGCCTCCGCCGCCTCAGCAGCCAGAGCTGCTTCTGCTGCACCGGACGCAGCAGAGGCGGCTCCTGCTGCTGCTGCTGCTGCACTTGCTGCTGCTGCTGCCATCGCCGTGTCTGCGGTGCTGTCCCCGCAGCTCACTGACGCCGCTGCTCCCGAACTCCCGTGCTGCAGCTGCTGCGCCGCATTCTTCGCCGCTGCTGCTGCTGCTGCTGCTTCCGCAGCAGCAGTTGCTGCTGCTGCAGCAGACCCCTGCGAGCGCTCCGCCTCGCCTGCAGCTCCTGCTGCTTCTGCTGCTCCCCCTGCTGCAGGCGCCGGCGCAGCGCCTGCTGCTGCAGCGCCTGCTGCAGCGCCTGCTGCTGCCCCTGCTGCTGCTGCTGCTGCTGCAGGCGCTGCTGCTGCTGCTTTTCTTGCACCTTTGTCTGCAACCGGACTCGCCGGAAGAGACACATCTGCTGCTTCCAACTCCTCAGCGGGCTCCTGGTCCCTGTCGAGGGCCTCCGGGGGGCCCCCCGGGGGCCCCCGGGGGGCCCCCTGGGGGGCCCCCTGGGGGGGGGCCCCCTGGGGGGCCCCTGGGGGCCCCTCGGGGGGGCCCCCCTCCTCCTGGGCAGGGGCTGGGGGCCCCGGGGTCAAACAAGTTACTAGCCGCCCCCAGAAGCCCCCTGGGTCTTCAAAGCTTTGCTGCACAATTCGAGAAAGAGTTGCTGAGAGGCTTTCTCCTGCTGCTGCTGCTGGTGGCGCTGCTGCTGCTGCTGCTGGTGGCGCTGCTGCTGCTGCTGCTGCTGCTGGGGCCGGCGCTGCTGCTGCTGCTGGCGGCGGCGTTGCTGCTGCCTTCTTCGGGCCACTTGCCGCTGCAGCAGCAGCGGGAGGCGCAGCTGCTGCAGAGGCGCCCTTCGAAGAAGAGTCAGCTGCTGCCTCCTGCTGCTGCTGCTGCTGCTGCTTCTGTTGCTGCTGCTGCTGGAGGTGCTGCTGCAGCAGCAGCTGCCGCACGCGCTGCTCCCCAGCAGCAACTGGCGATGAGCTGTTTTGAGGAGGCGAGGGCCCCTCTACGGCGGAAGCAAAGTCCGCGTTATCGTCATCTGCTGCTGCTGCTGCTGCTGCTGCTGCTGCTTCCCCAGCGTCTTCTTGCTGCTGCTGGTCCTGCTGCTGCCGCTGCTGCTGCAGCTGAGGCAGCTCCTCCTGCAGCTGCTGCTGCAGCGGCTCCGCCTCCTTGCTCTCCTCATTTGCTGCTGCAGCGTTTGCTGCTGCTCCGTTCTCGTCAGCTGTTCCAGGGGATTCTTCCTTGGTCACTGACAGGCACCCATCTGCTGCTGCTGCTGCTGCTGCTGCTGCTGCTGCTGACTGCTTCGGGGTGAGGTCCTCGAAGTCCTCGTACTGCTGCTGCTGCTGCTCCTGCTCCTTTGCTGCAGCTGCTGCTGCTTCTGAAGGAGGCTTGCCCTTGACGGCCCCCCCCTTGCAGCAGTTGAGGCAAACCATCGTCGCAGCTAAATCAGCAGCAGCAGCAGCAGCAGCAGCAGCGACACTGGCAGCAAAAGTGGCTGCTGCTGCTGGTGCTGCTGCTGCAGCACCAATTTAATCTCGACAAAGGGATACGAACTCTTCCGGTGCAGCAGCAGCAGCTGCCCAGTGTGGCAGGCTAGCTGGGGCTGCTGCTGCTGCCGCCGAAACGCTGCTGCTGCTGCTGCTGCTGCTCCGGCTGCTGCTTCTGCTCCTGCTCTTTCTGAGCTAGGTCCAGCTACCGTGCGCCTCTTTACGGCAGCAGCTCCTCGTGCTGCGGCGCTTGCTGCTGCTGCTGCTGCTGCTGCTGCTGCTGCTGCTGCTGCTGCTGCTCTCGCTCGGGAGCAGGTCAGCGTGACGGCCCGTCTGAAGGGGAGGAACGAAGCAATTTTGCTGTTGCAGCAGCAGCAGCAGCAGAAGGCTTTAAAGAAAGCCAAGGAGCGAAACCAGTCACAGCTATACTGCTGTTGCTGCTGCTGCTGCTGCTGCGGACGGTAGCGAGCCGCCTGCGCAGCATTCAGCAGTTAAGTCTGCTGCTTCTTCTTCCAAAGGCTTTTATGAGTCGAAAATGCTGCGAAAGAAGAAAGAGAAATGCTGCAGCTAGGAAACAGCTCGCAGCAGCAGCAGCAGCAGCTGCTGCTGCTGCTGCTCTGCAGCGAGCAAGCAGGGGATGCGTTGCTACCAATGCTTCTAAGCTGAAGTTTCAGCAGCAACATGTGCTGCTGCATCTGCTAGTGCTGCTGGTGCTGCTGCAGTTGCCGAGCAATGCTGACGACTACAGCAGCAGCAGTTGCAGCGGCAGCGGCAGCAGCAGCAGCAGCAGCAGCAGCAGCGGCAGCCGCCTAGATCCTCGCGATAGATACTTTCTGCAAGCCTTGACGTTTGTACATCAAGTATGTGTCTGAATGACACACAAAAGCAGCAAGGCGATCTGGCTGCTGCTGCTGCAGTAGCAGCAGCGTCAGCTGCAGCAGCAGCAGCAGCTGCTGCTGCTGCACGGCTCGGTCGCTGCTGCTCGTCAGGAGAGCCGGCGCTGCAGCAGCAACTGCAGCAGAAACTGCAGCAGCAACTGCAGCAACGACACTAACCATTAGAAAGACACAAAACAGCAACAATTAACCCGCTCTAAAGAAGCGCAGTCTTGATATAGCTAGTGCTTCCACACAAACAGCAGCAGCAGCAGCAGCAGCAGCAGCAACACCGGCAGCAGCAGCAGCTGCTGGGATCGGTCTTTGGAGTTGCACTTGCTGCTGCTGCTCCTTTTCTGTTCTTTTCTTTATTTGCAACGCATTTGTACTGCTGCTGCTGCTGCAGCTTCGTGTACACCCCGGTGGAAGCTAGGGGCTTAGCCTTGCTGCCGTACCCCCCAGCAGCAGCAGCAGCAGCAGCAACGCGGACATCAGCAGCAGCAGCCAGTACAGCACAGCAGCAATTGCTGCTGCAGCTGCAGCAACTGCTGCAGCTGCAAAGAACCCACAGCAAGCTGCAGATACCAAAAAGACAACAGATGGGGGCCCCCGCCCCCAAGTATGCTGCTGCTGTAGCAGCAGCACAGGCAGCAACTGCAACTGCAGCAGCAGCAGCATCAGCACCTGCAGCAGCAGGAGCAACAGTTGCTGCTATTACCGCTAAGGCGAAGTCTTCTCAGCCGCCCACACGCAAACTGCTGCTGCTGCCGCTGCTGCTGCTGCTGCTGCTGCTGCTGCCGAGTACGGCGCTCGCCACTCACTTAGCCCGGGACCCCTCGAGCTGCTCTACAGCAGCAGCAGCAGCAGCAGCAGCAAGGGAGCGACCTCCTTCGATCCCCCCCAAAGACGCCCTACAAACAGCAGCAGCAGCAGCAGCAGCAGCAGCAAACAGGGCGGCAAGTAGCAGGCTGCTGCAGACGCGACGCGGCAGCACCGATAGTAGCAGCAGCAGCAGCAGCAGCAACAGCAGCAGCAGCAGCAACAGCAGCAGCAGCAGCAAGGTCAAGGTGACTGTGGTGACAGCCACGGGAGTAGCAAGCCTCGATAGGCGGTGGGAGCTGATGCTGCCTGCTGCTGCTGCAGTCAAGCACGTGCGTTTGCTGCTGCAGCAGCAGCTGCTGCCCCGCCCGCCGCTGCTGCTGCTGCGGCTGCTGCACAAGGGCCGCTTGCTGTCCGCTGAGGAGACACTGCAGCAGCTGCTGCACCAGGACCTGCCAGCAGCAGCAGCAGCAGCAGCAGCAGCACCATCAGCAGCAACTGCTGCTGCTGCTGCTTCGAAGACGCAGCAGTCCCTCACCCTTATATGGGACACAGCAGTGCCTCCTGCAGCAGAAGGGGACTCACCCTCCCCAAGTGCTGCTGCTGCTGCTGCCAGCAGCAGCAGCAGCAGCAGCAGCAGCAGCAGCAAATGCTGCACCGATGCCCAGGACATAGCAGCTTACATGGCAGCAGGCGACACCGCAGGGCGCATTGCTGCGCTGCTGCAGCGCGAAGCTGACAGCCTAGCAGCAGCAGCAGCAGCAGCAGCAAACTCCGGGCACAGTGCTGCAGCAGCGGGACCCGAGCAGCCGCCCCGCACTGCTGCTGCTGTTGCTGCTGCTGCTGCTGCTGCTGCTGCTGTTGATCGAGCTGCCTTCGGGGGCTCTGACGTTCCGCTGCAGAGCAGCGAAGAGTTGAGTGCGGCTGTAGAGACACTGCAGCAAGCACTCGAGCCACAGCAGCAGCAGCAGCAGCAGCAGCAGCAGCAGCAGCAGGAAGAGGAGGAAGTCGAGTATTTCCCTGCCCCCCCCGGGACTCTGAAGGAGTACCTGCAGCAGCAGCTGCTGCTGCAGGTGCAGGTACACCCGAAGCGCCTGCTGCAGGTGGCAGCAGGGTCGCTGCTGCTGCAGCAGCTAATGGCGAACACAGCCACAGCAGCACAGACGCAGCAGCAGCAGCAGCAGCAGCGGGTGCGCGAGCTGCTGATGCTTTCTGCTGCGCCGGCCCTGCTGCTGCTGCGCCTCAGGCCTTTGCTGCTGCTGCAGCAATTCGCGTGGCAGCTGCTGCCCAAGGGCCGAGGCTGGAAGGTGCTGCGTCTGCTGCTGCCTCCTGCTGCTGCAGCAATGCTCGAGGACCAGCAGCCGCTGCCGCTGCAGCAGCAGGTGCAGCAGCAGCAGCAGCAGCAAGAACAACAACGCAAGCAGCAACAGCAACTGCACACGCAGCAGTTGCTGCTTCAGGGGCAGATGCAGCAGCAGCAGCAGCAGCAGCAAGGTGACACCTCGCAACACTGAGCTCTCCTTTAGACATTACAGCAGCAGCAGCAGCAGCAGCTGCTGCTGCTGCTGCTGCCCTGCAGCAGAGGGCCCTCGCCGGGGGCCCCGGGGGCCCCTTCTTTTGAACTTTGATGGAAGCAGCAGCAGCGCACTGGTATTTTTTTGTTGCTGCTTTACGTAGGAGTCATCAGCAGCAGCCTAAGCCAGCAGCAGCAGCAGCAGCAGCAGCAGCAGCAGCAGGCTCAGGGGGAGCACAGACAGCTCGAGGGGCCCCCCACTTTCTTGAGGCCCCTAGGGGCCCCCCTCTCCCATGAAGGGCCCCCCTTTGCCTGCGCTGATTGTAGTGGCCTGCTGCTGCTGCTTTTGCTGCTGCTGCTGCTGCGGCTGCTGCAGCGGCAGCGCAGCAGGCGAGACCTCTTGCTGGGAGGCCCCTGCTGCTGCTGCTGCTGCTGCTGCTGCTGCTGCAGAAAGCCTGATGGACTACGAGACCCGGGACAGCTGGGAGCTAGCAGCAGCAGCAGCAGCAGCAGCCGATGGCTCGCATGCAGGCGGAGCCTTGGGCGCAGTAGACACTGCTGCTGCTGCTGCTGCTGCTGCTTCTGCTGCTGCTCCTGCTGCAGCAGCAGAAGCAGAAGCAGCTAGCCACCAGCTGGCACAGGGGGCCCCCCAACTGCATGCAGCCCCAAGGGGCCCCTCTTCTGCTTCTTTGTATTCTTTGAGTTTCTTTTTGGGTCTCTTTTACGTCATTTTCCTTTGTGCTGCGCAGCAGCAAAAGAAAAGGGGAAGGCTCCTGAACAAGCAGCAGCAGCAGCAGCAGCAGCAGCAGCAGCAGGTGCTGCTGCAGCAGCAAACGCACCAAGAGGTCCGACAGCAGACGCAGCAGCGGCAGCAGCAGTCACACTGCCCCCAGGAGCAGCAGCAGCAGCAGCAGCAACAGCCTAACTGCTGCTGCCGTTCCTTCATGTCCAGAAGCAGCAGCAGCAGCAGCAGAAGCAGCAGCAGCAGCAGCAGAAGCAGCAGCAGCAGCAGCAGCAGCAACGTGAATTGCTGAGCTGCTTGTTTTGTTTCTCAGGACTTATTGGAGCCTCCAAATGCAGCAAAGAGCGACGACGCGACGCCCGAAAGTAAAGAAGTAAGCAGCAGCAGCAGCAGCAGCAGCAACAGCAGTAGCAGAGAGCAGCAGCAGCAGCAGCAACAGCAGCAGCAGAGAGCAGCAGCAGCAGCAGCAATCAAACAGCTGTTTCGCCCGGGAATTTCTTCTTCCCGGGGGCCTCTTTCCGTTGCTTCATATTAATCGGCGCTTTCTGCTGCTGCTGTCTTTGCTGCTGTTGGTTCTTTTGCTGCTGCTGCTGCTGCTGCTGCTGCTGCTGCTGCTGCTGCTGCAGCTTGAGCTCTCTGTTGCCCCGGATACACCAGAGGGGCCCCCCGGGGCCCCCGTAGAGGGGCCCCCCGGGGGCCCCCCAGTACCCTCTTGGAGGCCCTTGAGCCAACGGCAGCGGGCCTTTGTCGGGCCAGAAAGGCTAAGCCTCAGGGGGCCCCCTGGGGGCCCCCCGGGGGGGCCCCCCGGGGGCCCCCCGGGGGGCCCCCCTGGGGGCCCCCCTTTGGGGATTCCTGGGGGGCCCCCTGGGGGCCCCCCTGCTGCCTTCAGGGCGGAAAGCCCCCAGCAGATGGTGAGCTACTTAGGGTTTGGAGAAAGGGCTTTTAAGAGAGGGGAGATGTGGCTAGCTAGCTAGCTAGCTAGCTAGCTAGCTAGCTGGCTAGCCAGCTAGCTAGCTGCGCGTGGCTAATTAGAGATCAGATGCACCGGCACGCTGCCCGAAGCTAGCTAGCTGGAGTGCTTGCTGGCTGCGGCTAGTTAGCTATGGCTAGCTGTAGCTAGCCGCGGCCAACTGTAGCTAGCTGTGGCCAGCTGTGGCTAGCTGTGGCTAGCTGGCTGCACCTAGCTAGCTGTTGCTAGCTAGCTGTTGCTAGCTGTGGCTGCCTGTGGCTACCTGTGGCTACCTGTGGCTAGCTAACTGTAGCTAGCTGTTGCTAGCTAGCTGTTGCTAGCTAGCTGTAGCTGGCTGCAGCTAGCTAGCTGTAGGTAGGTGTAGCTAGCCAGCTGTGGCTAGCTAGCTGTGGCTAGCTAGCTGTGGCTAGCTAGCTGTGGCTAGCCAGCTGTGGCTAGCTAGCTGTGGCTAGCTAGCGGTGGCTAGCTAGCTGTGGCTAGCTAGCGGTGGCTAGCTAGCTGTGGCTAGCTAGCGGTGGCTAGCTAGCTGTGGCTAGCTAGCTGTGGCTAGCTAGCTGTGGCTAGCTAGCTGTGGCTAACTAGGTATGTTCGCGTTTGCAGGAAAGGTCGGGAGAGGCGGCAGCAGAAGGCCCCGCAGCGGAAGCACTGACCGAGGTAAGAGGGTTTAGGGTTTAGGGTTTAGGGTTTAGGGTTTAGGGTAACCCTAAACCCTAGAGTGAAAATAAAATGTAAAAGTAAAAAATGACAGGCAAACAATTCTGGAAATAAAGAAATAGACAAATAAAAGAAAAAGAGAATTTTTTTAAAATTTATTTTAATTTCTTTTTACTTCTCCTAGTTTGTCTAATTTAATATAATTACTTAGTTTAATTTGATTATTTATTTAATTATTTATTTTTACTTAATTATTTATTTTTATTTATGTATTTTTAATTATTTGTTTTTATTTAATTATTTATTTTTATTTAATTATTTATTTTCATTTAATTATTTATTTTCCATTTTTCATTTTTGTTTTCTTCTGTCAGCTGGCGGCCGAAAATCTGCGGCAAAAAGTTTTGGTGCTTTTGAGGGAAGGAATAGGCAAGTCCAAATAAATAAATAAATAAATAAATAAATAAATAAATAAATAAATAAATAAATAAATAAAA